GTTGTCTTTCAGCACCTGAGGCTGCAGCGTGCATGCAACAGGTCTGCAGGACTTCCTTCAGGGTTTTGTTTCTGTAACCCAAAAAAGTTCTCCACCCAAAAGAAACCACAAATGAGTCGACTGCATGCGAGCTAGATCAGGCAGTCAGACAAACAAACCCTACAGAACGTGAATGATCCCGGGTCCTCAGAGGGTTTTGTTTTCTAACAGGAAGCTTTTTAAATAATAATCTAAAGTTGAATAAATGAAGGAGCTCTGTATGCAGAGAGGCAGTGAGCCATGAGTGAGGTCAAACAGTGATCAGTGTGCCATGCTGTGTACTCTGTCCTGACGGCACACAGCAAACACTCACTCAAGCTTTCATGGGAACACTGCTCCGCTCTGCACACACACGCACGAGTAATTGCAGACTCCTGCTGTGACAGAGGTGCATGACGCCTGGATCTTGTGACACGTTTAATCTGGGACAACAAGCCCCCCCGTCTCCTCTGGGAAGCCACACTCTCCCTCTCGCCCTCCTCTGATTGGCCCGTGGCTACTAAAGATAAGACAAAGAGGAAAACGCGAGACGCTCGAGAGACACAAAGACGACGATCATCCCCCGTCTGACACCAAGACACAAGCATGACTAAACGCCTTGCATTATCCCGATTACATCTCCTCCGCAGCTCGCCAAGTGCTTTATTGATTTCTGTCTCTTCTCATTTGCATACAAGGCAGCGTGACGCACATCATGTCACATGAGTGAGAGATGATACGGAGATGTTAGCGATGAGAGACGGTGAGGAGTGGACCATCCTGTCACACTTAAGTTTGATGCATGTGAACACAAACGCTGCATCCTGCATCTTCATCCATCACGACCGAAGAGAAAAAATAATAAACTGAATTTACTCCTGAACGGCTGGACGCTTACATCTCCAACGACAGAACCTATGATGTCATCAAGGTTACAATAAATCTAAGTAGATATGATTCATGACAAACTGTTCAGTTTGAGAACCTTATCACATAAATTCATTTTAAAAACTCAAAAAACAATCGTAAAAGTAATATTCAGGACGACCTTTACACGTTCAGGTCTTTTTTTTAAAGATTTATTTTTGTGTCTTTAATGGAGAGATAGGACAGTGGATAGAGTCTGAAATCAGGGAGAGAGAGAGAGAGGGGAACGACATGCGGGAAAGGAGCCACAGGTGGGATTTGAACCTGGCAATACACAGAAAAACGTTCCAGCAACTTTCTCTCTGAGGACGATTTGTTTTTCATCCTGTTTTGAAGTCATGTTGATGAAGTGATGAAAATTACGATCAGCAGTCTGTATGTTGTGTTTTATTTTGAAATTTTACCGGTTGCTCTGTGCGCTTCTTTGTCTGACTTCTTTTCCGGGACGATATATTCTGTCCAGCTTGACGTTTGCTTGCAGCAGGTTCCATTGTTGTTCCATTACTGGAGAGATAGGAAAGTGGATAGAGTCTGAAATCAGGGAGAGAGAGAGAGTGGGGAATGACATGTGGGAAAAAAATATTAAAGAAAAAAGAAAAAACTATCTCCCCGGGAATTGCCAACGCTTGTGGTCAGCCGTGTTTATGTAGCCCCCAGTGCTAACGTCAAGATAGCAGCAGTGCTGGTAGCTGAGGATGCTAATGTTATGATGGCAAAGTACCCCGAGCGCCGCTGTTTATTGTCGGGGACTTTAACACATGCCGACTGGACAACGTTTTACCATCATTCCAACATTATGTGGACATTCCCACCAGAAAGGCAAACATGTTGGACTTATGTTATGGTAACATCACCGATGCTCTCCGTGCGCGTTCATATCCATCATAACATTATCTGTTTACTTCCGCTCTACAGGCAGGAACTGAAATGTCACAAGCCACAACGTTACAGCGCCCCACAATGGTCAGAGGACGCCATTATGCACCTCCAGGGCTCCCTGGCATGCACTGACTGGGACATTTTTGATGGGAACTTCAAAGACAGGGTCTCTGTCATCACGGATTACATACATTTCTGCATTCACAGCAGCATTCCTGTAAAAACAATAAAAAAGTATCCCCAACTCCAAACCATGGATAACTCCCCAGCTAAGACAGAGCCTATAGGAAAAGAGTAAGGCCTTTAAGCTCAAGGACTGGGAACGCCTAAAACTGGAAAACAGAACAATAAAAAATGAGGTTTTCAAGGCAAAATTAAAATTCAAAGACAAAGTGGAGTCTGAATTTGCCAACATGAACACCAAGCAGGCATTTCAGAAAGTCAAAACTCTCACTGGGTGTGAATCCAGAACCGGTACAATAACTGACCCAGCCTCCTTGGCAAAACAGCTCAACACTTTTTATGCCCATTTTGACACCCTGGACTGTACAGCTGACTGTGAAGCATGGTTAAGAGCCCTCCCTCTATCAGAACCCGTTGAGCCAGCCACCTTCACGGTAGAGGATGTACAGCGCCAGCTCAGCCGATGCAAGGTGGGCAAGGCTCCGGGGCCTGACGGCATCCCAGCAAGGGTGCTGAAGGCCTGTGCCCACGAACTCTCACCAGTACTCTTCTCACTCTTCTGTGAATCCTACCGGACTGCCCCCATACCCACCCTCTGGAAAACTGCAACAATAATTCCGGTGCCTAAAAAACCCCGGCCTACTGAACTCAACCACTATCGTCCTGTTGCTCTCACCTCCATTATAATGAAGTGCCTGAAGAAACTATTACTGAACACCATTCTGCCAGTTGTTGCCCCACAGCTGGACCCCCTCCAGTTTGCATACAAGGCAAAGAGGGGCACAGAGGATGCTGTGGCCGGCCTGCTGCACCTCCTCCTTCAGCACCTAGACCCCCCCAGGTCACTTCATCAGAGTCCTCTTCGTGGACTTCAGCAGTGCTTTCAACACCATTCAAAGGCATCTGATGATCCAGAAACTACACCAGCTCAACACCCCCTCCCCCCCTCCCGCCTGATCCACCTCATTCACAACTTCCTCAGTGACAGGCTGCAAGCTGTGCGAGTGGGCACAACCTCATCACCTGCACTAATCACCAACACCGGAGCACCACAAGGATGTGTACTAAGCCCATTCCTGTACACACTCTACACCAACGACTGCACCAGCCTGTCACCCACCACCACATACCTCAAATACTCAAGACGACACAGCCATCATTGCCATGTTCAGTCTGAGTAAAAAATGAGTCTGTTTGCGTTCACACATGCAGCTCAGACTCTAAACTTCAGACAGTTTTCAGGAGTTTTGTGCTCGTGTGAGAGCGCTTTATGAAGTCCTGTAAATGTTTGGTTCATTGTTTGGACTGTAAAACAGAAGACAGGAAACGTTTAACCTTCATCATGAGGTGTTTCCAACACTGCATCGAGTAGTTGATTAAACAGAATACTTTACATAAAAACAAGAAGAAGAGTCTATGAGTGCATTCTCACCTGAGATGTTTGATTGGTCTGAAACAAACTTTGTCAGTTTGGGGCGGTGTGAACGCTCAAATGAACTCTGGTCTGCTTAAAAACGGGGGTCTTGGTTTGCTTCCAAGTGCACCAGAGTTCATTTTGCCGTAGGTGAGAACGCCATTCAAACCAAAACGAGGGAAGTGAACCAAAAAGCAGTGCATTGTGGGATGAATTTGGCAGGGTATTTCAGAATACACAGCAGGTTACTAATAAGTAATGATAATAATATGTACAGAAGCCCAAACTGGCCATTTCCACAGGATCCATGCGGGCCACGCTCCGTCCGCCCAGAGCCCAGTCCGCACCGTCTGGAGACGGGAAAGCAAATCTATAATTTAATATATACATACAGATATGTGTGTCATGATTTAGTTCTGTATTTCAAAGTTTAGGTTTTAGTTTAGGTTTCCTTGTTGTTCTTTGTCCTAGTGTTGCTTGTTTCCCTTGTGTGTTTTTGTCTTAATGTTTCATAGTTTAGTCTTCAGTGTTTCCTGTTTTATTTTGTAGTTTCTTATCCTTCTGTTTCTTTGTTGTAATGGTAATGTTACATTCTTGAGTTCTGTGTGTCTTCAGTGTTTCATGATTTAGTTTGTAGTTGTGCTCAGTGTTTCTTGTATTGTATTCTTGCCTCTGTGTGTTTCCCTCCGTGTTGATTGACCTCATTGTCTTCACCTGTGTTATTAGTTTCACCTGTGTCTGATTACCCCTGTGTCTGTTTAGTCTCTGTGTTGTCAGCTCAATGTTGTATGTTGGTGTGTCAGTGGTTCATGTGTTTCTCAGTGCTTCTCAGTTTTTGGATTTTCTCAGTTTGGACATTTTGATAGAGAGTTTTAGTTTTTGCCTTTTTGTTAAAATAAATTGTTCTGGTTATTCTGCACTTGGGTCCACCTTGTTTTCCCACATCTGTGACAATATGACTGCTAAGGGCTTCTGTAAATATTCAATATTATTATTCTTATTATAAATAAAGTTGGTTCTTTTTTTTTGTTGGAACAGATAATTGACAAAGATGTGAAATATTACCAAAAACAGAACCAATAAATAAGGAATAAAAATATAATACACAGCAGATTGTTCGTAGTCATTATTTTTAAATTGCAGCATGACAAAACAAAACTTGTTTTCATAATTTTCTTTATCTACAAAAAGTCCAGTTGTTGTCATGTTGTCGAAAGGTTTATTGTTGTCTTTTGTTTTTTTGTTCATTCAGCCACAGACTCTCCTCTCTCCTCCTCCCCTCCCCTCTCCTCCTCTCCTCTCCTCTCTCCTCCTCCCCTCCCCTCTCCTCTCCTCTCCTCCTCTCTCCTCCCATCCCCTCTCCTCCTTTCCTCTCCTCTCCTCTCCTCTCCTCTCCTCTCCTCTCCTCTCCTCTCCTCTCTCCTCCTCCCCTCCCCTCTCCTCTCCTCCTCCCCTCTCCTCTCCTCTCCCCTCTCCTCCTCTCCTCTCCTCTCCTCTCCTCCTTTCCTCTCCTCTCCTCCCCTCCTCTCCTCCCCTTCCCTCCTCCCTCCCCTCCTCCCTGTACACTCTGTACCTGAATGTCCTCTGCGACTCCAGACTGGAGATGTGCGCACCTGATGACGCAGCAGTCTGCCGCTGTCTGCTGCTGCGTCATCAGGTGTGCAACTGTAGACGCCAACCAGACTGCGCTGCTCCCCTCCTCCTCATCCACCTCCTGTTACTCTCAGCCCTGCATGTTCTGCTTCTGGTTCTTTATTTTTTTAATCCTTAAATGAAACTCCTTTTGTGCGCAGAGATCCATGCAGCTTCTGTGTTCCAGGTCACAGAGTTGTTACATAATTCATCTGATAGTCTCAGACATCCCGTGGAGTGTGGAACTTCAATAACTCAACGTGATAACAAAAGCAGGAGGAATCTGAGCGCTATCTCCACGTGGTGTTTGCTGCAGCGGCGGTGCGCCACACCGACCCGTCCCGTCCCCGCCGCTGGCTGGCTGGCTGGCTGGCATAATTCTCAGACGGCAGGAGGAGGAGGAGGAGGAGGGGGGGAGGGGTTTACTGACATCAGCACTGCCGCTCACTACAGCATCGAGCAGGCTTGCCTGTCTGCGGGACCAGCCACGCCATCCTGACGGGGGGCTTCACGGATGTCTGGGCTCGCTTTGCGGGGTTCGGGTCGTGTGGAAGCGGACAGTTCGAGCGCAGAGGCGTCCGTGGAGATCCGGGACTCGGTCCGGGCGGGTCGGACGGTGAGTTTGTGGCGTTGTTTGTCTGCAGACAGCAGGGCAGACTGAAGCAGGCACGCTGTCTGAAGTAAGTTCATATTCGCCTCGTCACGCTGGTTGTAACTGATAGTCTGTGTGTGTGTGTGTGTGTGTGTGTGTGTGTGTGTGTGTGTGTGTGTGTGTGTGTGTGTGTGTGTGTGTGGTATTAAGTGTATGTGTGTGTGTGCAGAAGTGGAGGGATGAGGGACATTTTCAGGATTAATTATCATAATTTACTCAAACTGATTTTTTGTCTTGAGACTATCACTGACATGCTAACTTGATTAAATATATATATTTGTGGATTCACATCATGATAAGTGGGGTGAAGTGTGTGTAGCTAACCTTCCATCTTTCTCTAAAGTTTGCAGGTTTTTTTCTGTCTGCACGAGGAGGCTGCAGACAGAAAAGGCAAAGCAGCAGATTTCCTACAGAAGAGTGCACACAGGGGCGCTCCCAGTAAAGAAGCCAAATTCTGCACTGCAGTGGATTTCTTCAGGTGTGTAAGTGAGTGTGTGAGTGTGTGAGTGTGTGTGTGTGTGTGTGTGTGTGTGTGTGTGTGTGTGTGTGTGTGTGAGTGTCTGTGTGTGACTGAGCAGTAGGCTGTACACTCAGTTTTCGGATACTTTCTCATTAACATTGTCAGAACCTGCAGAAGCTTTTTGGGGTACATGTGGAGGTCGCCCCTCCTGGAAATCTGTGCCACCAGACCACCCAGCCCCAGCCGCCCCCCCTCCACCTCCTCCCCTTGTTCTCCTCACATCACAGGAACAGTGTGGTGGCTGGTTTGACGCCGCCTGTGCATTTGGATCTCAGACTTCCTGCAGGCCTCCAGACCAGAGAGCTGCTACAGGATTCAGAAAGTGGATTTTTTTTATGTGAACTTCCTGGAATTCAATTCAAAGCAAAGACCGGCTCACTGTTCGTTCACTTTCATTGCACTCAGAGGACTTTTGGATAACGAGGGTTGGACCTGCTCTTCAGGGGGCTTGAAGGACTACAAAGGTGTCACATTTCACCTCAGGGATCAGATTTTTATCACTGTGTCGACACAGCACATCTCAGGCGCCGCTCACACCGGTTTCCCAGACTCACTGAGTTTCTCCTCAGGACTTTTTGATATTTTTCCAAGACGTTCTTTGTAGTTTCACTCTCAGGCGAAACCCAACCAACATATGAACCCCCGTCGCCATGGCTTCTGACAGCTTCCAGTACAGGGCGCTCTTTGAGTACAAACGTGAGCGCGGCGACGACATCAGCCTCCAGCTGGGCGACCTCCTCGTCGTCACCAAGGCCTCGCTGATGGCCAGGCCGGGCGTGGACTACCAGGACGGGGACGAGCGGAGCCCCAAAGGCTGGCTGCACGGCACCAACGAGAGGACTAAGGAGACGGGAGACTTCCCGGGGACTTTTGTGGAGTATGTCGGCGCGGTGAGAGTTGGCCCACCTGCGGCCAAATCCTGGACCAGGCCCGTACCGCCGACCCCCGGGGGGACGCAGGACGCCGTGGGGCTTCAGCCTCCTGGAGCAGCTGCTGCTTCAGGTGAGTGCTGCGTCAGCTGGATCAGTGCTCGGGTCTATGTGGATGTTTGTGGTGGCTTATCATTCGGACATTTACCAACAAACTTTGAATCTCAAAGCTTCAAAGTGTGCCAGTCTGTGTTGTTGTTCTGGATCTGAGTCCAGCATGAACTATGATTCTGGATCTGAATATTCTCAGCTCAAAAGTCCTGTTTAGGGTTAGTGGTCGTCTGAGGGCCTATCAAGGTTTCTGGGATTAAAGATGTTATTTAGGAGGCTCCAGTCTGTGTCCTGATCGCCTGTCTGACTTGAAACAAAACATAACACCGGTGTAACGTTTAAAATATTTACAGCCAACGATACCATGACCCTTAAGTTGATGCAGACTCCAGCAGAGTCCCCTCTTTCTTCCACACAAGCACAGGATGCCATCCCGCCCAAATCCACCAGATCCTGGATATCTGTTTCCACAGCAACATTAATAGAAGTCCTAGAGGCACCTGATATTAGGTAATCTCATGCATACTGTCTCAGTTGGCAACGTTTTGGTACCGCTGTTGACCTTTGCCTCCCTGCTTTAGATCATGTGCAACACACAGGCTGTGACTGGAGATCATTTCTTCTCTCATTCATTTAGAAACGTTCCACTAATCAAACCAATCCCACCCCTGTTACCCTCATAGAAACCCCCTCAGGAGTCCCTCCTTTTACCTGCACCTTGCAGACACAATCATTTGTAGATGTTGGTTTGGGGTTTCTGCTCTCCAGGTGATTTGTAGAGTTTGTTGTCTAGTCTGAAAAATGACACCATCACTGTGCTTTTAATGTCAGAGTCTGGCATTAAAAGCACAGTGATGATGTCATGGCGTGTTGACACTATCTGAGTGTTTCTGTGTTTCCTAGAGTGATTCCATTTGAGTGCGGCCTTGATTCTGTTATTTTCTAAATGCAGTGAGCTTCACAAGCGAGTCAGCTCACTGCAGGAAACGAGTCTAAAGTTTGGCTCAGTGGAGATTCTTTCTCCTTCACTTTCTTTGTAGTTCTTCATGCAGAAAGTTTATTTTTTCATTTATCCAGGGTTTGAGATATCAGCCTGAAGCTCACAACTTAAAGAAACGACTCTTTGCAACACCTGGACTCGTCAAACCAAATCAGTGAAAGGAGATCACTGGAGCAAAGGGAGGACGGGTTTTTAAAACAATTCAAACATTGTTAAACATAACTGGCCGATAACCTCCCTGTTTGCAAACATTAGCACATTGGTAAATAATGAGGCATGCACCAATGACAGTGTCTGTGTCTGTTAGCAATGGCGAGCATGTTTAGCTAACTGCTGAGTCAGAGAAGAGGTTTTGGATTGGGCAGAAGACGTCGCCTGTTTGACAAAGTGTGATCAGTGTGTGTTAGGTGGGGGTTGTTTCTGTATGAGATGGACAGTTATGAAATGGTGAAACAGACTGTGGATCATCTTAGATTTATTCAGCCATGGTCAGACAACACAGAAACACAACACACATCGCTGACCCATGCTGACCAAGATCTCACAACCATTGACAATCATTGGCAAAGTGGCCATCATGGGCAAAATGGCAAAATGGACCAAAGTCTTCATCACACAGTGTTGCTTATATTCTGCTAGAAGGTACAGCCAACAAATTCCTTTCCATTTGGGTACATCACTATAAAACAATAAAGATGACATGACACTGATTTGTATACGTATCAGATGTAGACTCTCTGTCTACCAAACAGTTGTTGACAACATATAGTTGGCTCCTATCCATTTATAGATCTGCTACTACTTAGGTGCTTCACCCATATAAGGTTAACGCTTCACAGACCCAAAAGAAGAATTACTGTGAGATGGTTTACACAATTTAAAGATATGTCCACAAAATGATCAAGATGAATGAATCCATGAAAATACGTACTAACAGTGTGGGACTCGATCTCCAGTTTTACAGTTTGTAAGAAGTGTTCCAGTGACTTTGATTTTAAAGAGGTTTTATGGCGCTTCTTCTTCATGGCTGTCAGCGTTACGCGATCAAGGTTGGAGAAACATAGGGACGGAAATTGAGAAGATTTGATTGATACCAACGGCAATATTGATTCTGCTTATCGATCCAACTCTTTATCTACTCCTGCCGGTATCAAATGAGAGAATATTTGGTTTTCATTCCGGTCTTCAGTCAAATAAAGAGCCTAGCTTACATGCGCTATGCTAATGCTACCGACGTCGTCGAGCGTCCAACACATGGCGCTCCTGATATTTAATGCCGTGCTGCGTCGACAAATTTCACACACGTCTTCAGACATTGCACGCTGAGATGTTAGCATGATTTTGCGTCAAATTTATAAGAACACTTTGGATCGCTTACGTCTCCTGTCCACCATGATTACTTCCTCGACTCCTTCATTTTTGTTTGCCCAGACTCCCTCTCCTGTCTTTGTTTTTCAAGGCATGTGGAACTAAGTGGAAGGCGATGATGTGGATGGCTCAAAGTAGTTTTGTTCTTGATTCCCATCCCTAGAAATAAATGCTTTCACTTTCTTTCCTCTCAGTGTTCAGGGTGGTTTCTTTTCTCCATCTGATGGGAAAACACCAATCTGTGACTTTCTGCTTTCCTCTGTGACCTCTCACTGTCGTCTTATTTAAAATGACCTTCATTGACCTTTACAGTTCTGATCCAGTAGTGTGTCAAGGTGGCCATGTTTGGGGGGGTTTTGGGGGACAGACAGAGCTTAACCTTCCTTCAGTATCAGATCGAGTGTAAACAGCGCTCTGTGGTTTGGTGCTGATTGTCTGACAGTTATTCTCACTGGTTGTGTCTGCTCTCCTGTGATTTGAGGATGAAGCGGCGACCTCCACCTTCACCTGCTGCACGAGCTCTTGGAGGAGCAGATCCTGGACCGTCTCTCCTGTGGACTCTGCAGGTCCCAGACACATTCAGACATGTGATCCAGCATGTACTCGCACTGCTTGCTCAGTTTTAATAATGATAAAGTCTTCGTGTATGTGTCAGTGTGTGAGTCAGTGTGTGTGTGTGTGTGTGTGTGTGTGTGTCAGTGTGTGTGTGTGTGTGTCAGTGCAGCTGCATGTTTGATGATTTATTTAGGACTGGATAACGAGGACTTGAGCCCAAAATATAAAAGCCTTTTTGAAACAGGGCTGCTCCACTTTTAAAAAGCCCTCGTGAACGCTGCAGGCTTTGATGGGGCGTCTTTACGGGGTCGTGTGCGGTTAGTCAGTTTTTTTTAGCCTCCGCTGTCAGACTGACTTTCTGATCTGTGTTTACGGCTCTTCATTTTCTAAATAGGTCAGTCGCAGAGCAATGTTCTCTCCTCTCCTTCCTCCGCCTCTAGGCTTCGCTTTAATTGTCTGGCTGCCCATCTGTTTTATGGACGTGGGGTTTTTGGTCCTGCTGCATAAATAACGTCCGCTCATGGGGTAAATATTGTTCTCCTCCTTTCTCTGTGTGCTCGCTGTGCTGATACTTTTTAGTTTCATCGTGTGTGAGGGAGCTGAGCCACTCGTCCATCCATCCATCACAGCCACACAAGGTTGGTGTCTGTCCTGAATAATTGATTGGCGGGCGCGCTGACATGCCACATTCCTGCAGTCACAAATCACCAGGAGCAGCAGCAGCGGTGGAGCTGTATGCTAGCAGGAGGAGGAGGAGGAGGAGGAGGAGGAGGAGCAGGGAGGCCGCTCTGTTTCCTCACTCTGTTTTTGAACAACACTAGTGCACATGTTTTCTTTTTTAATTTCTTCCTGGAACTGACTTGATGAAGGCTCACTCTCAGATTCAGATGAAGTCATCTATAATGCAGTGAGTCAGTGAGAGCGCTCCGTGTGACCGCGGCGGCCTGCAGCAGCTCACTGTTCTCATAGCTGGGGCGGGAAAACGGCTCCAAGACGGATAAGAGAGGGTCTCGACTTAGAGATGTACTGTTAGCAAACACTGCTTCAAGCTGCAATAAACCCTCTGTTTGAATAATCAGGAAACTTCACCTGGAGCCAGTGGGGGGGGGGGGGGTGGTGACCTTTACTCCCTGTGATCACTGCACGACCATAGACTGTCTGCACGCCACCTCTACCATCTCCGTGCTCTAATCAACCTGCTGCTGCATGTTTCCTGTTCTCCAGGATGTTCTTCTCCACTTCTCTTATCTCTTGTCCACTACTTCTGCATCGTTCTTTTTACTTACCTTTGAATGTTCGGGTCATGTTTGAATAGATTAGCTGTAAAGGTGGATGTGACCAATCAGAAAACCTGCAGTAAAGTCAAAAGCTCAGAAGATGTAGAGCATAGAAGAAAATTAAATTTTAAGCATCAGTTTGCGAGGACAACTTTAAAACAGAAATGTATTTCTGTCATTGGAATTAAATTGTGGAATTCTTTAAATAATGATTTGAAGGGTTGTGTTCAGATAGATAAAGAACAAAGTTATCAGACGGTATGAAAGTGGCAGTTAGTGTGTTCTGTGTGTTTTCCTTCTTATTTCTGAGGAAGTAAAGACTGAATTGTCAGATTTGTTTTATGTTGGCATGATATTCATTCATTGACTGTAACTGGACAGACCATCCAGACATTTACTGTTGCTTTTTGAGTAAGAGGAAGACAAAACAAGATGTATTCTTCTCCCTGCTCCTTTCCCTACATGGGATAAAGTGTGAATTGTTTTTTTTCTCTTTTTCATTTCTGTTGTGTGTTCTGACATGTATGGAACAAATAAAAAAAAATGTGATGGTGCTTCTCCTGCGTACTAAAGTATGTCCAGATGTTTTCATGTTTGTACAGACGCTTTCTTTTTGTTCAAGCAGAGTCAAAAGGTCAGCTGAAGCAGAACGTTCTGTTTCTATCTGCTGACATTAATTAGAGAAGGAACGAAGCTCAGACTGGCTGCTGACGTTATCTACCAAAGAGGAACAAGCAAGGAAATGTTTTTCAGAACCTACTACATCAGGACAAACTCCGAACCTGGAAGCTCAGATCTACCAGAGGAGACAGAAACGTGTAT